CCTCCAGTTTGCAGCTGCACTCCTGGGGTTAAGTGGAGAAATTCTGGTTTATTACTAACTCTAGATCCACATATGAATCCAAAAACAAAATCTGAGTTGTCTTCAGCCATCTGTACCTGAAAAAGATCAGTGAACAATTACAAATGATATACTTAAAACTCAGCTGGCCTAGCAATCTGTTTCTCATTCACCCTCTGACTCTTTAAGCTGTACGAGGCAGGGGTATGAAACACCTCTTGATTTCCCCATGTAAAGTCACTCCTTCCCTCTGGCAGGAAAGTGAATATTATGTTTCTTTCTATGTTATAAATAATACCATTAATTAATTTAAACTAATTAGAAAATAATTGCTTAAAGAAAGAAAAAAAGAAGGGGGGTTGCTAAGAGCAAACCTGGCATGTATACTAGAATTCCAAGTGTGAACTCTGACCACCTCACATCACTGGCTTACAGCTGCAACCTTTAAACACCACACAGTCATATTCCTGAGTCTCCAAGGCAAAAACAAACACCTGTAATAGTTAGAGCTGGAGGGACTTTTGGAAGTGCAAATATTAGAAACCCATAAAACCTCCCTGTCACACTTTACAAGCTTTTAACCTGACACAAGACTGCCCACTTACTGCAGCTTTTGTGTATTCACCCGTTGCAAGGGACCCCTGGGAACTCATCTCTGCAACCAGGAGACAGCCACGCTGGAGAGGAAGGCCTACTTCCTTCAGACCTTTCACAACTCCAGAGCCTGGAACCACGTGGGCATTGATGATGTCTGCCCAGGATGCGATTCTGAACACACCACCTGAGAACATGGGCAGGAAGACACAGGCAAAGAGTCATCAGAAATGTGTTAAACAGGAAGCACAAGTTAGACAAAAACAGCTGCACACTTAATCACTCACATATTTATAAGACAGTTTTACTGCTGAAGCTCGACAGTTACAAGTTCAGTCTCATCAAACTGTTCTGACAGCTGCCTAACCACAAGGTGTAACCTCTCAGTTTACTTTTCACAAACATTTGTTAGTGTCTCACCTTTAATATTTACTGAGACATTTATGGTAGCCCAGAAAACCACTGTCACAGGTGCTATCTTCCCAGACAGCATGCAGGTCACAAGGGACATAAGGATCAGGAGAACAGCAGCTCTACAGCTGCAGATGGAGTATCAAAGGAAAGCCATGCTGGGCACACAAGCACTACAGTAATAGCAGGCAGCAGTTTCTCATGGCACACAACTCAGAAGTACTTACTGAGCACAACCATAGATTCATAAAAAGGTTTAGGTTGGAAGAGACCTCAGGAGGTCATGCCCTCTCAGCAGGGTTAACTTCAGCGCTAGGTCAGATTGCTCAGGGTCTCATCCCCTTGAGTATTTCCAAAGGCTGGAGATTCCAGGCTCTCTCCTGGCAACCTGTGCCAGTACTAGTTACACACACCAGAGGCAAAGTTATAGTAAATCCAGGTTGATGATAATCACCTTCATACTGATGTTTCACTGTGTTTCCAATATCTGCAAATTTCCTGTCTTCAAAAATCAAGAATTCATGTTGATCTGCGAGCGTTCTCAACTCCTTTACTACCTCTTGGGTGAAATCATTCAAGATGTCTATATGAGTTTTCAGGATACAGATGCTGGGGCCCAGCGTGGCAGCTAGCTGCAGCAGCTCCTTGGGGCTGGTGACATCAGCAGAAAGGCACAAGTTTGTTTGCTTCTTTCCCATGAGCATGAGAAGCCTGGCTGCAATAGGATGCACCCCTGGCAGCTGGGCACGAGTGCTGAAGCTCAGCTCCTTGCAGAATCTCTTCACAGGAGCAGCACCATTCTGAGCCACTGCCTCAAACACATTTCCCTCAATGAATTTTTTCACCTTTTCAACCATCTCAGCAGCCACTTTTCCCTGCTGCTGGAGAATCTCCAGCACCTCAGACAAGGTGCACACAGAGTGCAGGCGAATTCCATGTTCCTCTAGCCTGGCCTTCCCACCCTGCTCCCTGTCCAACAGCACTATGGCATCTGTGACTTTTAATCCTTCTTTCTGAAGAGCTTCTGCAGTTTCCAGCACACTGGATCCACTTGTTACCACATCCTCAATGATCAGGCATGTCTCTCCTGGATTAATGGTGCCTTCTACCATCCGCTTAGTACCTGAAAAATAAAAAGCAAACACTCCACCAAATTAAGAAAGGTTGGATAACGTAAAAAAAACCCTTAAGAGTATCAAAACTCTATTAGATTATACCACTTATCACAGTTCTTACCACAGCTCACTCATTGATGTGTAATTCAGCTCATAAAGACTGTTACTTCTCCAAGCTGATAAAACACTACTTTATGTTTCCAGAAGTTATATTCCATAACAAAACTGACACTGTTAACAGCACAAATTCAAATGTCTGAAAAAGATAGCTTCAGTTTAGTACTGTCATGACTTGAAAGGTCAGACTTACAAAATTACTCTCTCATTATTTAAAACATCTTTAAGGCAGCCAAGTTATTGGCACTCTTCAGCATGTCCCATTTTCCACAGGCAGCACTGTGTGCTTAAAATGCCTGTTAGAACAATTAGAAGGAGTAAAGCCTCAAGTGCCTTTGTCCTAACTAACAACAGGCACACATCCATGAAAGGCCTCCTAGGGGGCAACGACAAAGGATGCCTGGCTTTCCCAGGGGCAGTTAATCGCTGTCACAACTGGCTTGTGCTTCACAAGAAGGAACAGCAAATGTTTCCATGCGTGGCCCACTGCCTGACACAGGGATAGCATTTAGTTTTGACAAGTGCACTTTCTAATTACACGCTGTTGGAAAAGGATGCGTAGAAATCCAGTTATATGGCAGGTTAATGTTTCAGTCTGCTCTCCCTCTTCCTTTATCACAATCAAATAAATGGCTCATTGAGTAGAGAAGGGACTGCTGCTCACCTGGCTCACAGATAACAGGACCATAGGATAATGAAAGAAAAAGAGGTTTAAAACATACATGAAGAAGAGACTAGAAAGGTTCCTTTTGGTGTCAGTACACAAAAAGCTCTGTTTGAGAGCGAAATGTGTCTCTGGTCTCAGCATGCTGGAGAACCTGAGTTGTAAATCCTCGTTTATGGATGAAGCCACTTAACCCAGTATCCTTATAGCAAAGATAACAAGGAAAAAAAAAAAAAGATATTGCTAAAGAAAAGAAACAAACTCTCCCAAACAAAACCAAAGAAACAGAA